TCATTCATACATGGGCAGCAGGTATTTTATTATTTTTTTCATATTGGAGCTGTTGCCATTTTGCATGAAATGCTTCTGGAGAGGATTTTCTACATTATCTGGTGAAGCTTTAGCCTCAGGCACAAAAGCCAGTAAATGATAGAGCTGATGCACTATGCAGTATGTTTGCTAATAATCAATATTTTTGTTTGTTTGTCTCTCTACATTTTACTTTTGTTGTTGTTGTTTTTTTATCTACATTCACCAGAGTTTTGCATCATTAACTCACTGAACTCCAGCTGTTTTTATTTATTTATTTATATTTTTTGGCACTTCACTGTCTCGAAGGTTGTATCTCTATGCAGACATTATTTCAAAGCTGAGGTGTACAGATACACATCTTCATAAACTATTTCACTTCTAATTGACATAATCAATGAATGATGAAAAATTGCCTTTTTGTTTCTATCGGCTGTACTGGTAGTCCTATATTGTCTTCTTTGTCAGCTTTGCTAATAGATTTATCCACATTCTAAAACTCAAGGTACTGTGCGTGTGCAAGAGAAGTTTCATCAGTTTGTTTTTTTTTAGGTTTTTTTTTTTCAGTGCAGAATTATTTCACCAGTGTTTCATGCTAGTCCCACATTGAGAGACTAAATAAAACATAGCTATTTTTATTTTTTTTCTGTGTGAAGGTAAGGACACACTGTGACCTAATCTTTCACCACAAGGTCTTCAAGGATTTTTTTTTTTTTTTTTTTTGTTCAAGCCATATTCCTGCAGAACATTTTAATAAAAATATATAATTAATAAATATGTTTAAAAAAAGAGCACTGGTATGTGTTTATGGATTTCAGCCACACAGTGCAAAATATATATTTTGTTAAACAAATGTGATTAAGCATTGCTAAGAAACATGGCAAAACAAAAAATATATATATATTTAGCACAATTACTGATATAGATTAAACAATCACTGCAATCAATAATCACAGTGCACACCATATTTGCATTAATCAGCAAATTTACAGCATTTAAAGTGATTTAACACACTAAAAGTATGCATCATTGAATGGTAAATGTTCCATTCCGTATCTTAAATTATCTTGAAGGCATCTTACAAAATTATAGATCAAATTGCTAAAATAGAAAGATGGAGAAAATTATTATGAACATGTAAATGTGAAATTCTCATCTACAAAAATGTCTTAAACCTTCAGTTTGTCCCCTTTAAAGGCAAATAGTTCCAAAGTTATAAACGCAGAAGAGATGACCAAAGATGACAGTAAAAATCAATGTGAGTATATCAGAACTGATTAAGTGTATTCTCCTTTAAAACATTTAAAACTATAATATATCATTATCAAATATGGATCTTGATCCAAATGACCAACATGCTCCTTTACATTTATATTCTCCTTTTACATATTTCTGTAGGGATCTGCTTCATGTAACATGCACTTCCTCCTCCTTTTAAAAATAACTAATAATGAAATAATATCCTCTCAGGTTATTCATGATTGTCTCATCCCATTATTTGGTTAGTGAAGCTTCATAGTCATTGTCAGCTGAAGACAAAGCAAAAAGAAAAATACTGTAGTTCTGAAAATAAATACTTTGTTTTCAGCTGCATTGTCAGCAAGGATGTGTCTGAACAGATATAATGGACCTGTACACAACAACTAGTGTAAGATATATTCAGTTTTTTTTTGTTTTGATTTTTTTTTTTTTTCAAAAAAGCATGTACATGGATATGGCTTTTAATGGGATAACCTACAGTGAGTAAAATAAAGTTCTTTGTGCTGGTGTAAATTGAGTCTCAGGAAGACAAAAACTTTGTGTGTGGCATTATTCTTTGTGAAGTGAGCTGATAGACAACGAGCAGATTGCAGCGTGAACATAAAGCTTCTTTCTGGCCCATACTGCACGCTGCGTCTCCATGACACGTTACATGTCCTGCTGACACGATGCGATATATAATAGTGAGACAGCTTCCTCTCTCTTGCTGTGCACAGTCTGCACTGTGGAGCTGAGATATGCACAACTGGCTTTCTGAAATCTGGTTACTGTGAGGAATGTTAACTCATTACATCGACTGTTAAACTGAGAAATGCAAGCTGATTGTAGAAAATAGATCAAACATTTTAATGAATGTATGATATGTTTCATGTCATGCCAACTAATTTCTTGCATGCTTCAATAAAAAAAGCTATGCATAGATGCACTAAAATTCATTATCTTGTTTTGACTTTTGTTTGTGACTTTTTACAATTATATTTTCATGATTTTGATATCATGATGAAGGTCAAGTTAGCTGTGCTCGTGCCACACACAAAGTGCACAATCACACTGTGCCCTCTTAGAACAATTACCACTGTATCTATAAACTCAGCGTCATCACACAAAGATAATACAATAGTCCCTCGTTACTTTACGGTTCGTTTTTCGCAGACTCGCTCTATCGCGTTTTTTCAAAATAAGATTGGACATGACAAACAAAGGCTGACTGATGGATGAGCCACATGATCGGCCTGGATTAAAAAAAAAAAATTAAAATAAATTATTTTAAATGATTTAGCCCCTGTGTGCAACTCACAGCTGGGTAGAAGCTTTCTTCTGCAGCTGATCAGCTGATCTCCGTGCAAAGCGGAGAAGTGGGCGTGGCCGAGAGTGCAGCTGAAGGCAGGGAGCTGAAATCATGACATTCTGTGCACTTTTAGAGCGATTTAGAGTTTAGAAACATCGTTTGGAATATTGCAAGAGTGTGTGAAGGGTTTAAAATGCCTTTTTATATATATATATATA